GTGTCTGGCTCCTCTCACTGAGAGCACTGACCCTGCTTCGTCCCCCTTTGTGGCCGAGCAATCGTCCGCAGTGTGGACCCGACGCAACCTGGTGACCCACCCGTCGGTGGGTGCACACTTGGGCTGTTCCGGATTATTCTGAACAGTGGGACCAGGATGGGAGGTGGGATGCGGGGTCCACGCGCTGTGTGACGTTCCCTAAGTTGTTTTCCCTCTTGGTCGGTGCGCCTTCCCCCTTCCACAGAGGAGAGTCAGGGCCCCAACATGCACACAGCGGCTGGGGGGCGGCCGGCACCCCAGCCCGGGGCTGGTTGGAGGCCTTAACCAATGCACATCAACTTGGAAGGGGTCCTGGGACGGATACATGTCCTCATCCCTCTGCCCCCCCACATCCCAGCACCATCCTCTGGGCCCATGTTCCCTCTGTCACCCGCACCCGCCAAGGCCACCTCCTCGGCTCACAAGCCCACGATGTGGCCACGGGGTGACCTCCGTGAAAACCCCTCTGTGTCTCTCTGGGAGCCAAGCCCCCAGCGGGCTCCCCGTGGCCCACGGATTCAGAGCCCGACCTTAGCTGAGACCTTGGTGGATCTGGGCCCCGCTAACCTCCCCCCCCACCCCCGCCCTGCACGCTTCCTGCTGCCCCTCAGCTGCTGGCTGCCGGTGCTTCTATGAGAACAGCAGGCGATGGGCCCCCGCTGTGCCTTCCTCCCTGGCTGACGTGGAGGGTTGGTATCAATAAATGAGCTTGGCCGGCGGGCTCAGTGTTTGACCGTTGACCTATGAACCTGGAGGTCATGGTTTGATTCCCACAGGCCTGGGTTGTGGGCTCGATCCCCAGTGTGGGGCGTGCAGGAGGCAGCCGATCCATGATTCTCATCATTGATGTTTCTCTCTCTCTCTCTCTCCCTTCCTCTCTGAAATCAATAAAAATATTTTTAAAATAAATAAATTCGCAGGGCTCTGAGCTGGGGCTGACACAGAGGGGGTGCAGGAGATTCTGGGGGCGTTATCAGGAAGGCCATCCCAGGGCTGGGGCAGGGGCAGGGGCGGGTCCCCTCGGCAGCAGGGCCCAGGGAGAGGGTGTGGGCGGGCCGCGCTCCGAACCCCTGATGGATGCTCTTAGAGTGAGTGAGGGTCACGGCAGCTGAGAGCAAGTCACGCCAGATGCCGGCTGACTTCCGAACGAGAAAGAAAGGTGACTCAGGAGCGGGCCTGAGCATGGGTCAGTCTGGGCCCCATGGCCTGGGGGGGGAGCCGCCTGGGGACCCGTGGGGGGCTCAGGGGATCAGTGAGTCCCGGGCCCCAAGGCGAGGAGCCCAGAGCGTGGAGGTGAGGGGCCTGTGCAGGGGGGACACCTGTGAGTGGGGTGCCCTTCTCCAGGGATGTGAGGTGTCCCAAGGAGCGTGGCCAGGTGGGAGCCGTGGTTGGGGGCGGCCACATGGGGCACAGGGGAGGAAGCACGCACGCTCACTGGGCAAGAGAAGGCCAGAGCAGAGCCGGCCCCTCCCATGGTGGACGCCGGCGGGTAGAAGGGTGCCTGACCCCTGGGCAGAGAGGGCCGGGTGGGGCGTCGAGGAGGCAGATGGGGAGGGCAGGGTGCCCGGCAGCCAGGTGGGTGGGCAGGTGGTGTCTGGTCAGGGTGGCTCCTCCAGCAAAGGCAACAGTTTGTTCCACGGGGCCTGTGCCCATCACCCACACACACGGGCACCGCCCGGCCTCCTGCTGTGCCAGCCACTCGGGCCCTGGGGATGCGGGTGACCGAGCCCGCAGGGGACTGGCTCCCGGTGGAGGGAGACGGCAGGAAGCAGGGTCTGTCTGGGGCGGAAGGGGCTCCCCGAGGGTTTGTCCTGCCACGTGTGCTGGTCCCACGCAGGTGCCTGTGCAAAGGAGTGGAGATGGCGTGGGTGCAGCGGGTGTCGGCGATGGGGGACCCTGGGGGCGTCATGGGCAGGAAAGGCACCCTCACGCAATGCTGGCTGCGGTCAGAGGCACAGGCCCCGGGGTGAGGCGGATCTGCCAAGTCTGTGCCGTGGGGACATCAGGGGAGGCAGGAGCAGGGACACCCGCTGAGAGGCTGTGGCAGACGTGGGAGCAGAGAGGGCTGGGACGGGGTGGCCTGTGGGTGGGAGCCAGGGCTC